ACCATTTATCTTTTGAGTTGAGTGATTCACTACAATTGACTGCAGGATGGGTCTGCTCAGTCCAGTATAGGTGCAGGGCAGACAAGTTCAGTGGTAAAGAAAGTGAAAAACAACAAAAAACAACTGAAGCAACAGCAAAATGCCAGGAGAAAAAAGGAAATGCCTGGAGAAAGAAGATCTCATTTCTTTCCCTTGGTATTATGGCCTGGGATTTTTTTATCAATGAAATGGAGTGTATAGAAGTCTTTGGTGTTAAAACTCTAGCTTTAATTCAGAAATGCCTCTAATGACCGAAAAGTCATCCCATGGAGAGTGACAGCCCAACAGTAATGTGACCATGACTAACCTGGTTCCTTGTGGTCTTCCCTTTCCCACTTCTGACCATGCAGCTGGGGATTTTAGAGTGGGAAAAGAAAACTTTGCAGCCTGTCCAGTACTGCTTGAATGCTCTTCTTCTTCAGTTATTTGGGGATAATGAAGATAGCTGTTTCTTCTTTGGTATTGTGCTGCTTTAGAATGTTAAGGTGTGTGCTGCTTTTGGGTACTTCTGTGTCCCATCAGCCATGTCCCATGTCCAGTAGGACAACTGCATAAAATTTTTAACACTGTCAAGGAAAAATTAAAAGCATGGAACATTTTGCTATACAAGTCTAAGTTTTATTGTAGCAATGATATAGGCTATTTTCTTGGACTTTGACCTATATTATTTTTGCCTGAATTTGAAGCAGTTATTTTTTAATAGTTTTCCATTGACTAACACAGGAGGCTACCTGTAAAATTGTAATAGAGAAATTCAAATGTCACACTTGATAGAAAAATAAGGCATTCGTACTGAATATCATAAATAGGGAAATTTAGCCTTTGACAGCAAGAACAAGCTCAGCTGATTGTGGATGTTTCTGAAGATGCTTTTTAGCTTTGTACCCTTTCAACAGCATAGTCAGGACTGGACATCCTACTTTTTTGTGTGGAAGCTCCTTGTCTTTATTCCTGAGCAGCCAAGGCTAGCCAACATTGGTAACCGTATTCAGTATTCAATAAATGGTGTTTATTGTTGTTGGAAAAAAGTAATTCCCCTTCTGGCAGTGAAGAAGGTGTGACTTGTAAACAGAGGTCTAGAAGCAGTGCTGTGCCTGCAGATACAGCAAGGGTTTGACAAAAAGGCAGCAGAGCTGGATTTAGGTACGTGTTGGTGTGCAGGAGCAGAACAACCCTGTCAAAATGCAGACTCTGCTTGCTGGAGCCACTGCCCTGGATGAGACCTTGCAGAAAGGAGTCACCGTGCAAAGTATTTCAAGTGCCAGAGTTCCCAGCCATTCTTACTAACAGGGAATTCTCCAAATTACATGGGATGGGAAAAGCATCCTGCCTAAAGCTTTGATATAATTTCAAATGTGAAGTGTCTTTAAGAAAAATGTCCTACACTGGACATGTCCTAGAGACTGAGATGCCCACTAAAGCTTGTCACATAAGTCACAGCTGTTTTCCTTTGAAAATTGCTTGTACACTGAGATCAGTGTTCTTCCCAAGCATCACCACTCACCTGGCACGCTTTTGCAGGTTTTCAGCTCTCAGGAGGCTTTACTCTGCTCTGATCTCCCACCTGGGGTTCTCTTTGTCATTAATTTCCTCTGGCACAGAAGCACCTGAGGTACAAACTCAGAAGCTGGAAGAGCATTTGGGATTGTGGCATTTGCCCTGTTGCTGCATTTTTCTCCTGAGTATCTTTGGCTGCAGTTGAAGGCAGGCTGTTGATCAAAGTGGACACACATCTGTCCTGGTAATGCTGGGGTTTTTTTAGTTGTTCTTATTTTCCTAACCCACTGCTTTCCTACCTGCTGTCTGTGCTCTGTGCTGAGAAGTTGATGGAGGATATACCTTGGTCTCTTCCCTAATTTGAGTCTGACAGCATCTACAGGTGGGATGTGGAGAGGGCAGTGAACATTTCAGGTACTGGTTCTTGTCTGCCAGTTTATGCAGCAATTCCACTGGAGAAGCCTCCCTTTCTTAAATGTAAGATTCTCACAATAACTGCAGATATTGTGGATTGTTCATTGTAGCATTTATCTCCCTATGTGTGCAGCTAGCTCCCTGCCTGGAGCCTGGCAGGCCCACTACTTAGTTGGGATATAGATGTTTAGTCTGTTTTAATCTGATCCTCACAAATCAGTCCCAGAAGCCATTTCTGTTGCCTTCCTCCCAGTGTCATGCAGTTTGTCAATACCCAGCCTGCTGCTGGGGATTTTAAAATGTATATGTGTATTTTTTACCAATCAGTCTCTGCACTGGGCCCTTGGAGAGCAGAAACTGAAGGCTGTGTACGGGGAGGTGAAGCTGGAAAAGGAAGGAAGATCCACCAGGATGCTTGCTGTCTCTGACTGACCCCATTGAGGACCTGCTTAGAGCCCATGCCTTGTTTGGAGCCTGTCACCTCAGTCATTGGGGAGCTGCTGGAACAGGCTGGGAACAGGCTGTTCTAGTGCCAGTGGTGCTACACAAAAAGGCATTCACAAATAACAAAGCTCTGAAACACCCTGAAAATAAGTGTCAGCAGCTTGAATTGGGGTCAGTTGTGCTGTGGTGAGAAACAGGCCAGGCTGGGGAGCAGGGAAAAGATCTCCCCTTCTTCTGCCTGCCTGGGAGAAGGGGATTACAAGGCAGTGGGGAGCACACCTGCTCCTGCTGACTGTCCCTGGGAAAGCCAAACAATGATAGGGTCCTTAACACTGCTGCAGATTAGGGTCTGGTCATCCTGGTACTTGTCAGACCATGTGGATACCCGAAAAAGAACATCCTCCCATCAGCAGAGCTTGGTTTCCTGACGCTGTGGCAGGCACACAAATGCTGCCCACAGACCAGCAGTTCATGTAGCTTTCTGACTGTCTGCAGTGCCCTGAGCAGCCATGGACAAGTTGCCACCTTACTGTCATGCCTCACTTGCATGCCACCTTGCACTATGCCTCAGTTTCCCCTGTTTATGTCAGGATATTAACACCATGGGGAGGGAGGAGGTGATAAGCGTTTTTGTATCATTATGGCTGTCACTGCTGAGGGGCTGCTGCTGCCAGAGAGAGAGAAAGGAGGTTGATTTTGAGATTAAGGCAGAAGGATACTTGCCTTTGCCATTAAACTAGTGGCTGACTCTGGCTACATGACACTACCTCTTAATGCTGCTCCCTTACAACAGGAAGGAGGACCCCCACAAGGGTCCAAGCAGCACCAGGGCTCTTTAAGCTTAGCTCTGTACCAGCCTGTCTGTGGTCCCCCTTTGAAGATACCATGTCTCTGGCTAAAGAACATGCTCCAAGTCGAGTCCTAGGGACCCACCACAGCAGGCTATGTAAAACACTGGCTTTCCATAGACTATACTTGCTGCATGAGTCAACTTTGAGGAAAGAAGATAATATTTTTAATGCTGAACTGAGTGGGAGCAAAGCCTGCTCCTGTCTCCCAGGTATTGAATAACAACTCGGCTGCTAAGGGACTTTGCTAGCAAAATTGCTCTAAAGTGCTGTGTGTAGGGCTGAGCCACCAGTGCTATCTGCTGTAAGACGCGTGGTGCAGACCTGAGAACACATGGGATGCAGTGTTTCTGTTCCCCACACTGGAGTGGTTAGTAAGTGTGCAGATACCAGCTGGACAAGTGTTCAGGATTCATACAAGTGCCATCACCAAATGCTGTCTCCTGAAACCCTGGGGCTGCTTGGCAGCAAATAAAAGAGAGCAGATGCCCGTATGTTATTTCACTGGTCAAAGTGGGGAGAACAAATTGAAGTGTCTATTTTAGCACACTGAGACAGCTGCGCTCCTCTCAAGCCAGTTCCTGAGGAGTCACCTATCCATGCTTGATGGAAGGGAAAGCATCTGGTGTAGCAACAGCCAGTTAGCCAGAAGTGGAGGAGCTGGCAAAGGCTTCCTGCTGTGGAAATCTTTGGATGACACCTTGGCAAAGACCAAGGGACAGATGGGAGTGCTGAGCACTTCCCCCTAAGCAGTGTCAGGTGCCTTTCATGCAACTGTCAAGTGCCAGGTGAGAGGGGGCTGTGACCTACACAATGGGGCATTTTAGGGCTCAGCTGTAGTGGGTGTCAGGCACTGAGTAGGATTTGTTCACTGTTGATTATGACTCTGAGTTACCATCAGCAGAGTGAACATAGCTACTGGAGCAATCTTCAGCTGCTTCCTTGCAAAGGCAGTCAGTTACTTAAAGAACCTGTAGTGATTTTTAAAGAGTACAGATGTATTAAGTATATCATGCTACTGTTAAGCCTTGGTGCACTCTGGAAAGGTCTGTCATTGTTATTCTTCTGTTAGCAAAATGAGGCTTAGGAAGTTCAACTGACCAGAATCCCAACAGATTCTGGAATGAAGAGAAAGTGGAAAGGTAGAGGTGTTGTCATACCTTACCAGAGGCATTAGAAGTGATGGTTGGATGTTCTTAACTGTGCTTCTTTATTTCTAACATAGTTCTCATAATAAAAAGGAATTTTGAAATTGGGGAAAATGATACTTCAGTGTTAATAGATTCTAATAACCAAACTGATCAGAGGATGCAATCCCTCCCCATATATCTACATAGATGCTGAGCATATTTCCCTGTTTCAGCATACAAAATACTGTTGTATTCTGTATGCTGTGATTCTCAGTGTTTTCTTTTACCCCTTGCTTAGAGTGGTTTATATTTCACATAACATGACTTCAATTTAATTAAACCACACCAGCTCTAACCTGAAGTTTCCCTTACTTGATGTTTAGGAGCTTAGACTTTGGAATAAGTTCAGCCTGTGATATGCACGGGTGCTCCTGGGCTGTTCCTCTGTGGTCCAGAGCTGGGAAAAGTCACTTTATTAACAGATTTTAATTTCCCAAGCAGTGTGTACCTGTCTCCTGATAAAGTTCTTATGGATCCACAGTCAATAAAAGGTTGCACGTGATTGTTACAAAGTGCTGACTGCTTTAAGACAAAAGAATAATTCCTTTTCTTTTCCATGTGAAAACAGGTCCCACAGATGAAGTGCTTTGCTAAAGGTCCCTCAAAAAATGTAAAGCAGACTCAGGAGATGAACCCAAGTCACCCGACATTCCACCTTAGCCAAAATGCCTACTTGCATTGTGGGAAGCTTGGCAAGAAATAAGGGTAATGAAACTGCCCAGCTGCCTGGGAGACTGTCTCTGCTACTATACAGCAGGTAATCCTTTAGATTTAAGAAACAACATAACTTTTAAGGAGGAAATTTACAAAATATGTCATCTGAAGACATTGCCATGTTTAATGCATTTGCTGCCAGTGATTTTCTTTCCCTTGCTATACTGTTTACAGAGCAGCTGGTGCAGAGCTGTTGAGCTTGCTATTGAAGATGAAAGGCTGCTTGTTTTTCAAAGTCTTTTGTGCCTGTTTGCTCCTAACTGGAGCTGTCAGTGTAGATGTTTTTTATTTCCTTTATCACTATAGGTCTGAAGTCCCTTCTTTAAAGATTTCCTCAATTCAAAGAAAGATTTCTTTTGCCCTAAGTCCCAAAAGACCTGAAGGGTCTTTACTCTTTTGTTTGGGCTGAAGACTCCACAGGCAATGCCAGTGCCTTCAAAGGGTTGCTGAAAACCTTTAACCTGCAGACAGCCAATGTCCCAGCTGAAGTCCTTTGATGAAGGCATGAGGAATTCAGTCTGTTCTACTCATGTCTGTGGCCTGGGAATGAGAACACCCCTCTTGAGCTATATAAATGCAATGGAAATCTTCCAGTGATTATTAATTAGTGGTGTTTACAATAGTACATAAAGGATGGAGCTTTTCCTCTCAAAACAGCCACAAAGAGCATACGTTAGGTACTGTACAAATCCCCACAGCAGTGCTCACTCAAGTTGCTTAAAAGCCAAGTAATCAAGGCTGCAGAATCTTCTCCATTCCAAAACTGAGGCACTAAAGTTATGGAAGGCCAAGTCATTTGCCCAAGACCATGACAGGAAGATGAGATAAAGCTGAGAATTGAAACCAAGGTACCTTGACAACCTGATTTTTGTTTTGTGCGCCACCTCTCATGCACTGATATAGGCTGAATTACAGGGTTTACTCTCTTCCATATAGTCTGTCTGCTGGTAGTTCTGGTACTTTGGTGAGGGAGTTATCTTAGAAATCTCTCTGATCAATCATTAAATCTTCATGATCTCACTTTTTTGAAATGTTTTAGCCAATGAGTTTCTCTCAGAGAAGATCTGGTCTACAATGGCAGTCTGAAAGGCAGTCCCTGTGATGCTCATTTCAAGCTTTCAGCCTTCCCACCCAGCCTGCACCACCAGGGCTATCAGTCACTCAAACCAATGCTCCTACCCAGCAACGTCACCCAACTGGAAAGCAAGTCTATGCAAATCTCATAATGAAGCTGTACTGAAAAGCACTGGATCCTGAGTGCTCTCCAAAGTGCTCCTCATCAGTGCATTCAAGTGACTTTCTGACTGATGAGATGTTCTTCAGCTAAATGTGCTTTTCATTTTTAAATGTGTTTTCTGTAAATGATCCACAAAAGTGATTCCAACTGGTATTTTTCATGTTGCCCTCTAGTCCTGCTGCCAGCTCCCTGTCCTTGCTGACCTGAGTATAGCCCTGGAGAGGAGCTGCAGTGGAGCTGATTGTGAGCTGTGTAGGGTTGAAAAGCCCATAGTCCAGCCACTCTGATTTTAGCTGAAGGGGAACAGTTGCAAAGGCACACTGTTCTCAATGGCCAGAGCAGATCTTGATGTTCTTGTTGAGCAGTTGAAACACTGAGCAAGGACTGAATCAATACTGAATGTGCTGAAACCAAAGTAAGAATATCTCTACATACATTTCCAGTTTTAATGGTCTCCACTTAGCAGAAATTGATAGCACCTGGATGCCAGGAGATCCAAGCAACTCTCTGCTTGCTCATATAAAGTGTTTTCTTCCTGGTTTATTTCTTAGGATAGTGTACACAGCGAAGTCCATGCAGAAGGCACACAAACTTCTTCCTTCTTTGCTGTTTGGGATTCATTAGAGAATTGAGATTAGTCATGCATGAATGTGAGGAAGGTGACATTGCTGCCAAAGAAAACTACATCTCGAGTTTCAGGTCACCAGAGAGCTGTGTAAAGAGTAACCGAAATGTATATAGTTATCACTGAAGGTGACTGACTCTTAGTAGGGCATGTCGTTCATAGTCTCACAGCTGCATTTAGAAAAATTGCACAATATCAGTGCAAAAAACATTCACCAAACCCAAAAGATAGCTGCAGTCACATGGTAAGTCTGCTCAGAACTGGAAAGTTAATGTGAATCTTACATTCTAGAGCATTGCCCTCACTTGGCTTTGTCAAACAGCCTGATCTAAGAATGGCATGAATTCTATACCTGATTCTGTTACCAACTTTGCTGATTTCTATTCTAAAAAAGGTTTGTTGCTTTTTATTTTGTAAATTTTAATATTTTCAAAAATTATCCCAAGTGCACTAAATATATCATCTTTTGCCACAGAAACCTTTATGACCTGATAATTAAGAGATTGATCACCCCCAGCAACAGACATAAACATTTAAACAGTACATAACTGTTCTCTGTACTAATGCAATAAAAATGGGTTTACTTTTACGGTGGTAATTTTAGCAGCAGTCTAAATCAACACCCTGTTGATAATCAGACAAATTTTCCTTCAAAGAGAAATTCAGTGCGAGTGACCTTGTTAGTATTATGGGCACATTATTGTCTCCACTTTCCTCAATCAGCTTTTATTCATGCTTTTACAATAGGTGTAAATTTTTATATTTCCTTAGGCAAGCAGAAGAATGAACTGAACATCTAGAAGATTACTTAAAATAGGTTATGGTGATAAGAAATAGACAATCCTGTACAATGTTGAAAAGGTCAGTGGATTAGAGTGCTGATTTCTGCAAATGGGCAGCCCTGCTCTGCTGGGGCTGGCAGGCATCTGAAAAAGAAAAAAATTGATCGGGGGCTGTTCAAAATCTGGTGGGATGTTTTCTGTATGGATGTGTTAGGGAATTTGGGAGGGAGAATGGTGGGAAAACATTTCTGCAGTATGAGGCACAGCCAGTGGGTGAATGGTGTCTGAAAAAGGAATCGTGTTTTGTGAGGTTGAGGGCTTACGCCTGTGTCAGACCTAGGCTCCCTCAGCTGTGCCTTGTCTTCATCCCTCAGCCCTGGTCTGCCTTGTAGGTATAGAAGAAGTGAGGAAGCCCAGGGAAGTGGCTTTGTACCTTTGTGTATGATACAGCCACAAACGCTGCCCTGGGTTGGATGCTCTCAAGCAGTAACAAAAATGTAGGGCAGCCAGTTTTATTTTTCCATTCTCTTGACAGTGTTGCTTTAAAAAGTTGAAAGAAATCAGTGAAGTATTTCTGGGCTAAATTTTATGAGTGCTCCTGTCAAGGACATGCTTGTTGCTCCGCATGACTGTTTCCAAAGCTGTACTGGCTCTGACAAGTAACATCGTGGCTGCTTTCACTTGCATTGTTTCCAAGGTGGAGCTTTTATTTTTCCTGTTTTCTAAATCCAGCCAAAGGAGTTTGGGTCAGCCACAGGATTCCTGTTCCTCAAACCTCTCTGTAGAAACTCCAGATGGATTTATTCTTGTGGTTGATCTGAGAATCACCCTTTTCCTTATATCAGGACAGTAATTCCTGTTGGCTCCAAGGAGAATCTGTTCACTTGAATATCTAGATGATCATGTTAATTATGATCCTTTCTGCTCCTTTAATATCTGGATAGTACCTTGCTGGCCTCTTCTGAACCAAGACCACTCCTAACTCAGTTTGGATGCTCCATGCAATGTGTTGCTCATGCCTGGCTAGGGACAGCTGTTCTGTGTGAATGGCTGCACAGAAGAAAATGCTGTGGTCCTGAGCATGTTCCATCTCAGATAAGAGTTGTCCTTTCAAGCCACACTCCCATCTGACTGCTGTTTTGTAAACTCATGAAATTTGGTTGCAAAGTCCTATCATTCCAGTTTTCAAGCAGAAGGAGAAAAATGGTTGTGCCAGATTCAGTGCAGCCTTAACTGAAAGTGGGGATGTGCATTACATTATTGTTGGTCTTTTTATCTCTGGTCCTTTCTTTTTTTTATGACTAGCAGGATGGCAATTAGTCAGCTCAGGTTGACTGCTCCTTGCCTGAAGGGCCATGAGAATGTTTCAAGGGATGGCTTTGTGATGGCTTTTCTCTTAACATTTTAAATGTTAAGCCTCATATGTTTGCCAGAATGCAAGATTCCTCATAAATCAGTTCTTAACAGAGCAAGTTTAAATCCTGTGGTAGAAACAGCCTCCTTTTCAACCAACAGGGATGGATTCAGCTATGATCTGGCTTCTCAGGCCTGATAAAATTTGCAGGAATACCCCTTTCTTGAGCAGAGCCTTCACCTTCTTTAGTTGCTTGGTCAAATGGTTCTCCTAGCAATGATCGGATGGGTATAGCAGCCTGGTTTGCTTTGTCCCAGAGAGCTGTGTCTCCAGTCACTCTTACCTCATATTTTCTGCAGTCAGTGACAGATGGGCATGGCTTTGATACCTGTGTGGTTTTTTTTGTTGGAAGTCAAATGGAATCAGCATCTTATTTTAGATGGGCTACTGGATTGCTGCTGAAAGGCAGTGCATCTGTACTTCATTACCAGTGGGGAAATGCAGGGCTGATTACCTTACCCATCAGGGCTAGAATGAGCATGGAGATTTCCATGGCTGACAGGAAGGAAGAAAGCCAGGGAAGGAGAATCTGTGCATCAGGGGCCTTTCACTGAAGAACAGAGAGGCAAGTCCATCTGTCAACTGATAGCCCATCACCATGGTCCTGGAATAACTCAGAGAACAAGCACTCTCCAGCTGCATGACGGGAGAAAAAGGTTAATCGAGCTTCTGTTGTGTGCCCTGAAGCCAAAGAATATTTATTTCATGGAGAACTCAGTGCTATCATATCCTTTGGGGCAGGTGCTTGGCTCTGGTGAGTGTAAGCCCATCCTTTGTCTTGGTTTTGGCTTTCTTTTGCCTTCCCGTTTCTGGCTTACCTTGGTTCATCCCATGTCAAATTACTTTCACCCTTTCTGCCTGCCAGGATGGGGAAGGGGCCAAAAATACAGTAGAGCAGAAGGTGCTGCACACACAGTTTTCAGTGGCAAATACAGCTATGCAGTCCAAGCCAGTGGTCCCAAAGGTTTCTCCTTAGCCTGAAAGCAGGCAGAGAGCCTGGTGCCTTCAATGACACTTGCCCAAGAAAGCCCTTTGTGACCTGCAGCAAGGTGTTAAGTGATAGACACTTGCCTCTCTCCAGACCATCCATCCAGCCCCAGGTGAAGTGGAGCTGCTTACTGTGCCATCTAAGCTATGTTTGGCCATCCTGCCATTTGGGCAAACCTGCTTCCCCTCTCTGGCGTGCACATGAAAACCAACTGCCTCAGGCAGTCACCCAATGCATCTGCCACAGCTTTCATTGACATGGCTAGAGTCATCTGTTCTGCATGAATGGGGCCGACCAGCATCTGGACAATCTCTGAACCCCTGGGATCTGTTGTGAAGGGCAAGTGACCAACCACTCCAACAGCCTGACTATAGAGCAGAATTTAGTAGAGCAATGGCTCTGCCCTGGCATGGTTCCCTTTGAGCTTTCAGCTCAAATGAGTTGGGCTCCTTCCCCAGTTAAAACCACCTGAATCCACAGTGTCCAGCAGAGTCACGATATCTGTCACGTAGGCAGTTTTTTGGGTGCCTGTGGCTTTAGATTCAGTGGCTCTAGCAGCCAGCACATAGCTGAGGTATCTGAGAGTCTGCTCCAGCAAGGCAGGGCTGGATGGGGTGCACAGGTGGGGCAGATTTGGCCCATGCAGGTGTCAAGTACCCACTCTTTTTGCCCTGCCCTTCCCTAAAGCAAACACAACTCCAGAGCTTGACCTTGGCTGCCTGGAAAATGAGCTGTGCTCATTGAAGAGGCAGCTGAGGCAGTGTAAACTGGTGTAGTCACTCACTGGCAATACCCTGCCTCACTGCATGTGGTTTGCCTGAGCCAGTGCTCTGTTAGTGAGGTGCAGAAGTGGAAGGAGTGTACACTGGCAATGCAGTTGTCTGTCTCTAGAAGATCTGGAAATGTACCAGTCTTAGAGACTTAAAGATGCATATTTCCACCTCACCAGAATGTCTGAGATTTAGAAGATTTTCCTATCCTGAGGCAGAACAAACTGCCTGTATTTTGAAAAGAATGAAAACATGAAAAATGTGGCTTGAGTCAGTCAAAATATTTTTGACATGTTTTGTTTCATGTGAGCTTTTATGATGTGTTTGCATATTTTTTATCTACAACAACTAAAATATTTGAAATGACATATTTGAATAATGCTGAAATTTCATTCTCTCTATGATTTCATATATAAAGAAGCCTGTATTTTTCACTGGTTTAAATGAATGCCTAGTTCCTGCTAAAAAAAAAATAGATCAGTTGGTGTAATGTAAATCTACTTGATTCAATTAGAAAGAGCTTTTGAAGCAAAGTCAGGGAATTTATCTCCTGTATGATAAATGGCTTCAAAGAGGTTACCACTGGATACAAAGTTAACCCAGGAACTAGTTTTTCCTATCTTCTAGTTCAGTTTCAAATGCTGGTAATTCTGTCTTTGGTTTGACTCAGGAAATCACTGTAAGAAGCCTCACCAAGCACTTAAGAGATCATTTGATCATGAGGCAGCAAACAGAGGTGAACCTCCTGAGGTTTTACAGTCCTAACTGCAAGCAAAGACATTAGCTTCTCATCCACTGGCAGTTGATTCCAAATCCCTCTAAAAGGCTTCAAGAAAATGTTACTGAGCTTTATCCTCAGCTAAGTTTCTGCTCATACTAGGTCTTGTAGCTACTTGACTACAGCATCATAGTGGTGCACGACCTGCTGTTGGGCAGGCTGATGCCTCCTCCAGTGCTGGCACATTAAACTGTCTGGATTTACACATATTCATATGTATTTTGATGATATGTGACACCTGTAATTGTTTCAGCAGTTCACCCTGAGGAGGGTTGAACTGAGGTGCAAGGGAAGCAGCCCTGCCTGGCCAAGATACAGGAGAGGAAATCTCTGTTGTAACCAAGAGTTAACAAACCACAGCAATTACCCAATTAAAGCTAAGCCCCTCTTTAATCAAGACAGTCAAGTTAAGAGGCCCTCGGGATTTTTGTGAGAAGGAGGAAGTCCTAATCATTGCAAAGGGAATTGCTTCTTTTTCTACCAGGCTTGAAGTTGCCCCCAGACTTGCAGATGCTGATTTTGAAAAAGAGAATCATTAGTTTTTAATAAAGATCTTGCTCCTTGGGAGGTGTGGGGATGGACTGAAAGCATTTTGCCATACAGTTTAGAGTTCATTAGTGCACCCATCAGGGAAAATGTGTGAGGAAAGTGAAATCAGATGAATATTCCTTATTTAACCTCCAAACCAGTAATTCAGGAAAAAAAGAGAAAAAGGCAATTTCTTCTAAATCTGAGTTCCAGGTGACTGCTTTTTATCTGAGCTCCATCAAATTATTCCCCTGCTAAATTTTCATTAAATAGGCTTTTTGCTCCAGCAGACACTGACTCCCTGAGATCATTTTGAAAGCAAAACATTCTGTTTTTATTAGTAATGATCCATCTTCCACCCTGGTGCTATGAGGGACTTGAGGAAAGTCTTTGTGCCTAGGTGTTAATTTTCTGCACTGAATCCCTGTTTTTTTTTCTCTGACATGGGGATGGGCAGAATGAGCTGGTTCCTGCTTGTCTCCCTGGCTGTGGGTAGGACTGGGGCACAAGGGAAAGTCATGATTCTGCCTCCACACAAGTCAAGAGGTATCATCCCTGGCCTCACACTCACTGCTCAGGCTTGTAGTTAGATCCCTCACACCCTCATTCCCACTGCAGTGTGAGATT